GACTTGAGCAGAATACGCAAACATCTTTGACAAGATTTCCTCAGTAGTCAGGAGTTCCTGTCACAACATGAAATTGAACAATGGATATTGACGAGAGGATTACAGAACATTTTGAACATTTACTTTTTATTGTAATGAATTAGTTTTATTTTTTAAAAAGATAGGACGCATTTAGGCAACCAGATGCGGTCTTTGTCGTGCGTCTTTAGGAATTTAGCAAAGTTCCAATCTGAGAGGCGGCACTTCGTCCCTAGAAATTCTGTATATATCCAAAAAAAATTGACAGTGAGCGAAGCTAGCCGTGTGTTGCTTTCGTTTGGTGTTTGCTACCGCGTGACCTTGTACCGCCGGAATGGAGTCGTCTCCCCGCCGGGGGCCGCGTTTTCGATTGGCGTGCATCGCCCCCGGGCTGGTTTATGAGTGTCCGCCTGATTGACGCGTCTACAAATTGCCGCGTCACGTGGCCGAAATTCCCAATTGGCACAGCGGTCCCGGAATACTTATGCGCTTCGTTGTGCCGACATTCGTAGAACTGGAATTGTGCAGTAAACGGTTTAGGCGGGCTTGTTTATTGTGGAATTACTCGTTATTTTTGTTGTTCGTGTGTGCGGACGTGTCGGCGGTGGCTTTTTTAACAGGAGGGACGACAATGGGACCGGCTTTTTTATTTTTTCGGGATGGCACGGGGAGACTATTAATTTACGATTGAACGAGCGTCGATTCGGATTTTTTCCTCTCGTCATTCGGAACGGGGTGGATGTCGAAGTGCCAAAAACACGCGGATCGACGCGTCCCTCCGCCGGCAAAAAGTCGGTCAATTATTAATTATTTTTTGAGCGGAAGGGAGAAGGGCGAGTATAATCGGTTGGGGGAGAATCGGTTAATTAAAGTCGAAAATTTCGCAAATAATCTCGAAACGGGTTAGGTTCGGTGACACAATGTGGGTAATTACGAGATGATGGGAATAAAATTTCTCGGGAGATTTATAAATATGCCTTATCCGTCGGTGCTTGAATAGGCAGTTGTATAATTAACTTGAGTTTGAGAGCAATTTGCTGGGCCAATAAAATTATCTCTTGAGAGAAAATCGAGGTACGGGCGGTTTGTAATTATTGTACAGGGCTTGATTTAAAGATTTGTCAGGTAATTTTAAATTGGAATTGGATACTATATATCGCGGAGTCGAGAGGTTCCGTTTATTTGCGCATTTGCTATGTTTGGAAATAAAGTTACAAAATACAAACAGACATCGGAAAAGGTTGATTGATAATTCCGGATGAAACGCTATAGTTTTGATGTAGATTATGCTTTTAGCCAAAGGGACACCCACACGGCGCAAGTCAATCAAAATATTTTGTTATTGACCCGGGATATTTATTTATAGAGTGGATTATAATGATCGACATACGAACTGCAATCACCTAAAAAATGAATTTCATCCACAAAATAAAAAATGTAAGCGAACCGCACTTGAAAAATACAAACCAAACCGTTAGTTCAGCGTGCATTACATCTATTTAAAACAATTTAGGACTCGTTTTTGAAGAATGGTGATTGGATAAAATTTAGTGTGAGTTAACGTTTTTACCAGGAGTATATCAAGTCGAAACTGGCAAAATAAATCTTAGAAACACTTTAGCCTCTTATTTAACTTTTGACGATTTTTCTATGTTCAGAGGAACGGTAAGCGGTAGTTGTTCAAACGTATTATAAATCCTCTTTATTGCTTTTTTGATTTACAAACCTATTCGGCTAGATATAGTACATTCCACTCCAGAAGCAAAACAACAAGTGAGTTTGGTATATATAGAAAAGTTTGTAGAGATAATATTCGGGCGTATTTTCGCGATTAACTCATATTAGCGTCGATTTTACGATGTTCCCGTTTAATCGGAGTCTGGGCTGATATTAAAGCTTAATCCGAGTGTAGTGAAAAATTCGCGTATTATTATTCAAGAATTCCGTAGTTTACGGCGTCGTAAATAATGTTTATAGAAATACGACTGAATTTCATAGTAAAACACAAAATATACACTCAGCGGGTTCTTTTTGGAATCAGGGGTAGAGCTCACTAAGTCATTTTATTACGCCATTTTTATTATCCAGTATCGAAGTTCGTGATCCATAAAATCCCTAATAAGTACATTTCTCAACAAGATATCGTACTTTTCGTTTTTCCCTTTTGGAAATTTCGCAGGGACAATAGAACGTTCTCTATCAACTTTCCTGAATTATGATCTGATTAAAAATACCTTACTCAAATTAACGGCTATAAAATGCAGCTACCGCTCGAACACATTGTGAAATACGACCTCAATTATAAATGACGTTATCGTTCCCCGTTTATGTTCATTCTCACTTTTGAGCACAAACAGATATCCGCCGAGTTAAAAAACGCATCCTTAACGAAATTATCGTCGAAAACGTCCCTTGCGGTCTCAACTATGGCAAAACTAGTTACAAGTCTTTCTGGATGACCGTCACTAACGTAATTACAAGAGGTCGACTTTGCTTCACTAATTCCACTCGACGACCGCACCGACAATTCCGAAATTTGTTTTTGATAAGAACTGTCATCCAGTTACCACTTAACTGTTATCGTTATGGGATTGTTTTATTGACTGAATGCAGTTTGACGGTTGCAAGCACCGATTTTCTGTACATGTGCGCACCCATAACAGTTCATTTTAATTGGACTATTTTCGAGTTGTTTGTTCGGCCCCAAATGTGAATGGATCAATTCACCTTCCTCGATTGCGTTTCCGCTATGCAAGAGTGCCGATTCGTTTAGTGGTGTTGGTTTTTTCAATCGTCCGATTTATTGGATTTTACTCTTAATTAAAGCTGTATTTCTCTATTATTGCAGCGATTAAAACAATTATAGGGTTCTAATTTACAGATGACGAAGTGCATGGTTGTTTGGGTTTTAAATCGGAAAATAATAAAATGTTCTAATTGATGGCGACTATCAAATTCTGTTACGGTCGGATTGAAACCAAAAAGCGAATTTATTGTTATTGTTGGAATAGATTTGTTGTGTTGGGTCGAAAATAGCGCCAACCCGTGATACATAGCGAAGCAAAAAGGAATCGTTGTCTGATGGGCACTTTCTGTGGGTCCATCGGTCGTGGAAAGCCTGTATGCACGTACACATCAAAACGGGAATATTTCTTGGATTCGACACCGATAAGGCCTCAATGTATCCAACGTTCGATAGTTATTTGACAGATACGAGACAAGATGGTCAATATCTGCTGCTCAGTGCAGCTTGGCACGTCAGAATCCGAACCGAAAGCAAAAAAAGAACACGGGCGGCCGTCGTCGGGAACAGAACCGAACCGGATTATTAAAATGGTCCCCAAAAGTGGAAGTAACTGACGTTAGTCACGATATATACGCGACGATAAATTTTAACGTCACATTTTTCTCGTACTTATACCGTAGTCTGTTCCTTTATTTTTCCTTTTATTGTAAAATTATACTTTCAATTTTTTTTATTGTCATCGCTCCCGTTTAAACCGTGAAGTTTCGTTTTTTTGTGACAAGTTTTTTGAACGCTGGCGTGACGAAAGTCTTCCATTTGTCGCACGATAATCTTCGGGTGGGTGTCATGTTTAAAAGTGCAGTCGTCAGAGGACGCTTCGCGATGCCAATCACGTATTGCCATTCGACGCTATGATCCCGATCCGAGTTTCTTTTTTTCGCCCGCTTTTTAGGGATGTTCGCTACATCGATTTCGTTTTATTTTGTGCAGTTGTAGGTGTTATAAATTCATTTGTGAAGTTTTAATGAGAAAGAATAACGATGGAGTGCTCGAAAAAGTCGCTTCCGTTAATTTGCAAAACAATGGGCTCGCATTATGCCGGAAATTCGACGTAATCCGGGCGTTAAGATTATAAATAATGTTTTAAGCGATCGGCTTTAAAGCTGAATCTCGGTTCGGATAATGCGTTGCTGGACGGACAACTAGAAGGCGACACCGGCGCCACGTGAGCTACTATACGATAGATGGCGTCCGCACTAGTCGCCTATTCGAGTCTCTTAATTGTCACACATATAATTTAATAAATATATTAAACTCGTAGTGGTGTCACGCAAGAATCAAACTTAGGACCTATCTTATTCCTATATATGTATTTTAATTTGGTACTTTTAGCGTCAATAGTTATTTGTAAGGAATCACCTATATGCAATAATTCACGATTATTATTATTATTATTATTATTATTGTGTGGTGTTCGTTAAATATTAAATTTGGTGCGTAGTCCTTGGGATCGATCCCTCTCGTATAAAAGACAGAAGCCTTCAAAACCGAATTAATTTAAATTTTCCAGGGTTAACTTCGTTCCGTTTGCGGGCGTAACGGCGTATCCACCCCGGGGCCAAATCAGATTTCCCCTTACGCGAACCTGATTCTTTCCCGTTCTCGTCATATTGTTGACGAAGTGACAAAGTGTTTTTCGCCCGGTAATATTTAATACAAACTCGATCTCGCAACTCGGCGTCTCAGTCGCACTATGATAACCGGAGGGATGATATCGAGTTACGTCTCGTCTTTGGGGACGATTTCGATTCCTCCGCGTGTCTCTCCTTCCGTCGCCGTGTAAACACGCCGCACGGTTCCGAGACACATACAACACCACCAACCAGGTGAGTGAGTTCACACGACGACTACGCCGACACAAAAACTCACCCTCTTAACGCGATTTAACCCTCCGAAAAATTGTAAATCACGACACGCCGCCGCGTCTTAATCCAACGTCGTGTGGATATTTGCAGTTTATTTTATTTGCGACGTCATAAATAGCGCGCAGGGGCGTGGAACTGGATCGGTTCGGGGGATATATTAGCGGTAATGTCCTTGTGGCGAGGTCCGGGTCGTTGGGTCACTCGGATTGCGAGACGGGCTGGGAGCGCCACCTCCGAAAAGGGCGGTTTTAATGTGCTCGCTGACCTCCGGCGAGAATTGACGAATAGTTGAGAAGTACGAATGAGTCAGAAGGTTTATTTGTTGCTAACGCAAAAAGGAAATGGTGTTCGGTCATATCTCCCCCAAGTCCTCGGATAGCCTTATCGTATACGGGATGTTGTGGATGGTGTTGCCGGTGAACGCCGTCACCTCGAGGATGCGGTCGACCAGTTGCTCCTTGTAGAGAGTCCACCGGTGGTCTTCCAAGAAGTACTTGAAGATCTGTTCGGTGCTCGGAATGTACCTCGTCAGAAATTGTCCGATGGCCTTGAACGTGATCATGCTCTTGTCTAGCAAAAAGTACCTAGGTAGGAGCAAGCATTCGCTCTCTGTGGCCGAAACGATGATGCGGTTCTTCAAACTTTCGCCGACGTTGAAACAAGCAAGCTTGTGAAAGTAGCAGACTTTTATGAAATGGACCCTTACGCTGGGGGTGATGTAGGAAGGATTCAAAGTAGGTCGCGACGTGCTTATGGCAGGTCGTATCGAAGCCCCCAAACCCGAATGCGACTCTTCCTTTCTGTGCAACTTTTTGATTTCCTTGTAGATATTGAGAGGAGGTCGAGCTTCTCCCTCTTCTCCGTCTTTAAGTAAAGTGTAATGCGGTATACCTTTTTTGTACGACGTTTTGATCGTCATGTGCTCGATCAAGTAACAGGTACCTTTAGTTAGAAAGTAGACGCAGTCCAGTTGCCCTCCGGTGGCACTCAAAATGATCTGATCCGGTTCGAAGTTCTTCTTCTTCGCTAGAATGCAGCTCTCTCGGATGTCGATTTCGGACCAACTGTCGAAATAGTTGAACCAAGACATGTTCAGTTGGACTTCCGCCCATTGGTTGGCCACTGTCGCTTTCAGAACTCGGATGAAGTCTTCGCGTGTAATGTACAAAAATTCCGTGGCTTCCGTGGTGGTGACGGTGGCCGTACGGGCGATGTTGTGCAATAGACCAACCTCCCCGAAGTAGTTGCCAGGACCCATCAACAGCACGTCTTTCGTGACCGTTTCTTTGAGCAGTTTATCGTAGTAGGTTTGACTCACCACGACCTCGCCGCTCAGGATGACGTAGAGGTTGTGCGATTCGTAGTTCTGGCGCACGATGGTCCTGTTCGGACCGAAGAAGTTGAAGTAGCAGATTCCGGGCAGTTCGTTCTTAACCTCCATTGGGTATCGTCTGAAACACTTCAAGTTACCGATGATTCTCCTCAGGTGGTTCTTCTCGGCTTCGGTTCGCTCCTCGGCCGCTTTGTTCAGCACCGTTTTGTCTTTCAACGTGAGCAAGCTCTTCTTGCCCTTCTTCCTCGTCAGTACTTGGATGTTCTTCTTCACGTTCTCGCCTAGTTTTTCGTCCTCGAGCTCCTGCAGCCAGCTCAGGTTGGCGATGATGAGTCTGACGAGTGCCCTGAACTTTCGCTTCGCGCTGACGGCGCGCTGGTAGCGTTCTTCGGGCGACATGGATTTGCGCCGGGCGCGCTCCATCATTCTTGCGGCCATGGTGGACGAAGGAGATTTTGACGTTGACGTCTCTCAAGACGCAGTTTACTGTTCACCAGGCAACGATAATCGCGACCTGATTGTAATAATAATAGGAAAAGGGCGAATGTCGCTGCTCCTTTAATTCGGGAATACTCCGAACGGCACGTGACATCCGGAATTTAAATTTTTCCAATACAAGAAATCCCGTGCGACCTCTGGAAGCTATTTTGCTCGGTCTGGATGTGTGTCGGTGAGTCTGCTCCCGTTTTCAGTCCGCGTACGAACCGATGGTTGCGGGTCCCGATTTATGACGTCATAAGATAAAAATTGATAGCGGAATATGTAAATGCGGAACCGGATCCGGACATGATTAATGATGTAAGGTCCGCCTGCGCCGTCGCTCCGTAATACTCGCGAAAATTGCTCGGAGGTGGTTGGTTGGTGTGCACGGTCACGATTGTAAATTTGTCCGAAAGTTGGTTGGCTGCGACAACAATCCTAAATCAGGATAATGCCTAATGTGAGATATAATGCGAAAGTTGGGACGGAGCGGATTTTCGACTTGCGTATGATGTTCGACGGGAAAAAATTGCGGAAACGGTGTCAACACGCTAAATGTAATGGGACGCCAGCGGAGGGCCATAAATTCGGGCATTCATTTAATGCGTTTTCAGTTTAATCAGTCGAGCTTCGGTCCGGTTGCGTGTGTACACGTAATAGAAAAGTTATGTGAAGTCGATTTCCTGATTGTAGGGTTTGTTTATGTGTACACACTGTTTGTGGGGGACAATCCCTAGATTTATTGTTTGCAGAGGCTCTAAACAAACTAGTTGGCCATAACGCGCCATTTCACCAGTACAGAACTTGTTTGGTTCTTTCTCTCGACGAACCGACATAAGTTTTTGACCGTTTAGATATTCCGGAACGACGCCGGGTCCAGGATTAAATCAAATTTCGATCCTAAAGCAGCACGCCTTCCTTTCACGTTCAATTGTGGAATAATGATTGTTCATTAGACTGCCGCCCGGTGACGCCGTCTGAATAATAATAATTTTCTTTATTTCGTCGCCGCTGTCCCGAAATGCTATTCACATTTCAATTGCCTCCGACGACGTTACTATAAATTAACGCCTAATTTGCACACGATCACAATTGCGCAACGCTTTTTGAGAGCAGGTAATTTAAATGGCCGATGTTAACATGTTACGTCGCTGCATTTATTCCCCGCTCATTTTCGAAATGACTATGTATATATGCGTTACGTATCGATTTTCTGTTTGCTGACAATTTCGGTTTTTATGTGTGCATGCGGACCGAAATATCGCCATGCACAAATTTGTTCTCTACGATTTTAGTGCCGGAAAAACAGACACAAAACCGATGCGATCCCAGTTAGACGAATTCATTTTTACAACCAATGTTTACTTTATGGTTTTAATATCTCAGACCAAATTACTACAAGAGATAACGCTATGCGGTAAAAACTAAATTTAATAGCAAGCTGAAAAGTATACAAATGTAGAGACCAGACTGTTTTGACGATTGCTGGACCGGCGTTATTGTCTCGCACAAAGTAGCGAATTTTTGACATGGTAATCATTGAAAAAGAAGGCTCTTTAAACTTCTGCAAACAATAAAACACTAGGTGCCCCCAAGATTATTGCAACTTCTTTAAAAAAGACACTGGAAGTCTTCAAGATTCGTTCACGTTCAGCTTTTAAAAAATAAAACACTAAGAATCCCTAAGATTCTTTCAAATTCTTGAAAAAAACTGGATGCCCCCAAAATTCGTTCACGTTCAATTAAAAGAAAAAACACTAGGGGGTAGATTATTTCAACTTTTTTAAAAAACACTCAAGACGCTTCCAAGATTAGTCCACGTTCAACTTTTTCAAAAACTAAGTAAAACATTAAGACTAAAAATTCTATTAACTTCTTTGAAAAACACTTGGGGTACCGTAATCCTCTCTTCAACTTCTTCAAAAAATAAAACCGTAGAGATTCCAAGATTTTTTCAACTTCTTCAAATAATAAAAACAACTTTCTCAAAAACTAAAATATTACAAGCGCCAAGAATCTTTCGAATTCTTCAAAGAATAAAACACTACGAACCCATAAGATTCTTTCAACTTCTTCAAAAAGTAAAGCACTACGGACCTTCAAAATTCTTTAAGCTTTTTCCAAAAATAAAACTCTAGGAGACCCAAAAATTCTTTGAACTTCTGCAAAAAATAAAACACTTGGTAGCCCTAAGATTTTCAACTTCTTCAAAAAATAAATACTCAGAGGCCCCACAATTCCTTTCAATTTTTTCAAAAAATAATACCCCAAGTGTTTCAAGATTCGTTCCACTATTTCAAGGTTCTGTCAGTTTATTAAAAAAATAAAACACTAGATTTCCCTAGATTCTTTTAACTTCTACAAAAAATTAAACACCAACAGCCCCTAAGATTCTTTCAACTTGTTTAAAAGAACATTGAAGACCCTCACGATTCGTTCATGTTCAATATTTTCAAATAAAAGACTAGGAGCGCCCGAAATTATTTCAAATTATTCAAAAAATAAAGCACTACCAGCCTCCAAGATTATTTCTTTCAACTTTTTCGAAAGATGAAACACTTGGAGCTCGATAGCCCTTCCAACTTATTCAAAAAATAAAACACGAGATATCGCCAAAAAAATTTAATTTCTGCAAAAAATAAAACAAAAGGAGCCCCCAGAATTTTTCTTTCAACTTCTAAAAAAAAATAAGAGAGCTTGAAATTATTTCAAATTCTTCAAAATATAACACACTGCGAGCCACCAAGATTATTTCCTACAACTTCTTCAAAAAATAAAACACTTGGAGCCGCATGATCCTTCCAACTTCTTCAAAAAATATCACTAGATATCGCCAAAATTTTGTAACTTCTGGAAAAAAAAAACATTAGGAGTTTATAAAATACACTAGAAATCCCCAAGACTTTTTCAACATCTGCAAAAAAAGCACTAAAGAATTCGTCCACGTTCAAATTTTCAAAAACTGAAATATTAAAAGCTCCAAAGATTCTTTCAACTTCTTCAAAATATGAAACATTAGGAGCGCCTAAGATTCTTTCAACTTCTACAAAAAAAAAATCCTGGAGGCCCCAAAAATTCATTCACGTTCAATTTTTGCAAAAACTAAAACATTAGAAGCCCGAAGATTCTTTCAACTTCGTCAAAAAATAAAACACTTCTTCAAAAACTAAAATACTAGATAACCCCAAGATGCTAGCAACTTCTGCAAAAAGAAACATTAGGAGCCTCTAAGATTCTTTCAACTCCGTCAGAAAATAAAGCACTTGGAGCCCCCAAGGTTACTTCTTTCAACTACTTCAAAAAATAAAACACTAGAAATCCCCGAAACTCTTTCAACTTCTGCAAAAAATGAAACACTTGACGACCTTAAGATTCTTTCAACTTCTGGAGAAAAACACTAGATGCCCCCAAAATTGGTTCACCTTCAATTTTTGTAAAAACTAAAATTTTAGAAGCCCGAAAATTCTTTCAACTTCTTCAAAAAATAAACACTAGAAATCCTCAAGACTTTTTCAACTTCTTCAAAAAATAAAACATTAGAAATCCTCAAAACTCTTTAAACTTCTGCAAAAAATGAAACATTTGAAGACCTTAAGATTCTTTCAACTTCTGCAAAAAAACTTTAGGAGCCCCCAAGATTATTTCTTCCAACTTCTTCAAAAAATAAAACATTAGAAATATCCATGATTCTTTCAACTTCTGGAGAAAAACACTGGATACCCCCAAAATTCTTTCACCTTCAATTTTTGTAAAAACTAAAATTTTAGAAGCCCGAAGATTCTTTCAACTTCTTCAAAAAATAAAACACTAGAAATTCTCAAGACTCTCAACTTCTTCAAAAAATTAAACACTAGAAATCTTCAAGACTCCTTAAACTTCTGCAAAAAATGAAACATTTGAAGACCTTAAGATTCTTTCAACTTCATCAAAAAAACACTGGAGGCCCCTAAAATTCAATCATGTTCAATTTTTTTCAAAAATTAAAACACTAGATCTTCTCAAATTCTTCAAAAAATCAAGCACTAGGGGCCACATGATCCTTGCAACATTTTCAAAGAATAAAACACTAGGTGCTCCCAAGGTTTCTTCGACTTCTTCAAAAAAATAAAACACTTTGAAGTCTTGCAACTTTTTCAAAAACTTAAACATTATACTTCTATTACATACTGTAATTATTAAATTATTAAAGAAACAATGCCATAAAAATTATTTTCAAGAAATTCCCCTACGAAATAAAGTTCTTCTATTTTTACAAACTCTGTTGACGTTAGCCGCTATTCATATTCAACATATCATTAAACCTGGCACATTGATGCCTCAACTAATTAGAAGAGAGAAGGAAGAGGAAAGAGGGAAGGGAGGGCAGAGGAGAGAGAAAAGGGAGATGATAGAAAGAAGGGGAAGGAGAGAGAGAGGGAGATAGAGAGAAAGAGAATAAAGACACTGAGAGAAGAAACGAACGCATAGAGAGAGAATGAGGACACACAGAGAGACAATGAAGAAACAAAGAAAATGGAGACACAGAAAAGGAATATAGACACACAAAGAGGGAATGAGGACACAAAAGAGGATGAACACAGAGATAATGAAAAGAGTAGAAAAGAGTAAGAACGGGAACGCAGAGAAAGAGGAGAGAGAAGTAGTGAATTGCCGACTGATTGACTGATGATACACAAAGATCTAGTAAAGAGACAAGGAAAGAGAGGAAAGCAATAAAGAAGGAGGGAAGGAGAAAGGTAGTATAAGCGATGGCTATTATTCAATATTATTTACCGTGAATAGAAATCCCTCAAAATGAGCGAACTATCAGCTAATTCGTGTTTGCCTCATCTAGATGGGTACTGAGTTGGCTAATATTCCATGCGATGAGAATTACGTGAAACTTTAAAAGGTTCAGTTTTTGCATCAAACTAACACACTAAACTTGATTCGCTTTAATCCGGTGAAGCTTCGTTCGTGTAAATCCTCAACTAATGCGTTCGGATAAAATATAACAAGTTTAG